AAAAAAAAAAAAAAAAAAAAAAAAAAAATCCCTTTTTTGAAGTTTTTTCTGTAATCCTCCTGGAGTAGGGTTGCAACACACTGGTCTGGGCCTTGGGGCTCGCCACACCACTTGTCAAACGCCGACAACATTTTGACTGTATAAGGACCACTTGCAGGTCCAGATACGTTCCGCCTGTTGTTGCGGCGAGGCTGGTTATCTGCCCAGATCAGACAGGTCGACAGATCTGGAGAAATGCCGAACCTTGAGATTTTTCTGCCCATGCAGGACCAGACGCGGTTGTCCTTATCTGCCGGGACCGGCCATTGTCGTGATCGGCGATCGCCATGGATGCAGCTGCCATTCAGCTACAAATATAAGATGAATGTACCTGGCCATCGATCTGGTCTCCGTGCAGTCTGACGCGGACTCTGAGGACATATTGCACATATTGCAAAATGCCCAAGGTGTGTGGATGGCGTGGCGGGTGTCTCTCCACTGCATGACATTCGAAAATGTTATCGTAGCTACGGTCTTCACGCCAATAGAGCACCTGGTCGTTATGGCCGTCTGTTTTTGGATCAACTCTCAGTCCAGATGCAGCGATTATGATCCGGGTGTTGCATTGGGGTAAAGACAGTAGCGGTGGTCCTGATACACTGATAAAGTGATGGATCAGTCCGAATGTATCTGGTCACGAAACTGTCCAGATACATGTAGAAATGTTGAGTAGTGGAACGGGGCTCTCCTATGACTTCCTCGCTGTTTGGATGTTCAATTTTGCAACCTCGCCTTTCGCCGCGGTTCTCCTGTTTTCTGCTCTCGTTTGCCGTCGGATTTTTTGACATCTGATCTGTCCTCCTTTTTTTTTTTTTTTTTTTGTCTTCCTGTGCTATGTGATGTGCTTTTTTATGTGCTATGTGATGCACTCTGTCGTTCGCTATGTCATTTTTGAGGTGATGATGTGCTATGTGATTCGTGTTGTGGTGTCCTATGTGTGTGATGTGGACGCTATATCAGCTTATCAAACGGCGTTATTACCCTCCGGAAGAGCAATTTCTTGCGCCGCCGACCTTACAGTATCCCCGATTCGTTCCCTCGCAACATGGCATGTCACACTCCGCAGGCAGCGAAGGCACCATCTCACCTCTCTCTTCAAACAGTCCGATTTTGACAAACACTCCCACTTTATCTCCACTTGGCCTGCCACTGTATCGCGATTCCGTCTCGGATGCATTTACGGAGGATACCGAGACATTTGGGGGGCAGTCAAACAGGTAAAAGTTCCGTAAAACATCACTCGCTACCCTGAAGTTTCTTCGCCTTTCTTTTTCCCTCCCTCTCTTTTTGCTCCCTCTCTTTTTTCAAAAAGATCGTTTTATCCCTTTTCCTTCTCAGCCATCTCTTTTTGCTCCCTCCCTTTTTCATCCTTATCGCTCACTTTTTTCCCTCTCTTTTGGCTGCTCTTTTGCTCCTGTAGAACTCCTCTTTCCACCCCCATTTGTCCTCTCGCTTGTTTCCCCCATTTGTTCCTCCTTATATCCTCCTCCTAGGCTCCCCCTCCTTTTTTTTTTTTTTTTTTTTTTTTTTTTTTTTTTTTTTGTAATTTGCCGTCAGCCATGCTAATCTTCATTCTCTGTATTGTTCCAATTTTAACGGATGTCCCGAAGGACATTTCTCCTCCTTTTTCTCCTCCCGCTTTTTTGCTCCTTTTTCTCCTCCCTCCTATTTCTTTTCCCTCCTCTTATCTTCCCTCCCAGTTTCCCTTCCCACCTTCAGAGAGACGGTCTCCCAGTGGTGAAAAATGTGTGGGTGGTATGTTGCGATTCTTAAATGAAGAATGAAAAATGAAAAAACTTAAATTTGGCGAATTCGCTGGATTATAGCGGAGATATATTTTATGGCATTTGAATGATAATTCAATGATTTGATGCTATATTTTAGTATATTTGTATTTATGTTTGACGACCAGCACCATTTCCCCCCCCC